AAAAAAAAAAAAAAAAAAAACCCCCCCCCCCCCCCCCCGGAGAGTCACGAGAATCGTGTTGGATTATTATTACTTTGTATCTTACCGATCGATCTTGTCCATCGACGACGGATGCTGTAAGATGGTTTGCTGTTCGGTCATTTGCACCACGCATTGTGTACCGAGTTCCAGCTCTGTCAAAAAAAAACACAAAATTGCACGTTAAAAACTTATCCATGAGCATCTTGTCGATATCAATGTAATTAAAATTTAGAAAAAAAAAAAACCAAAAAACAAATATATAGATATAGAAAGCAAAATACATTTATAAGACAAAAAAAATAATTTTTCCAATATTTCCTAAAAATCCCTTAACTTCCGTTTAAAGAACCATAATAGCGCTATGCACCTCATATATGCGTAACGCATCAAGCTCCTAGTTGTCGGCACGTGGTTCACTCAAGGAAATACAAGGTTTAATATTCCAGCAGCGTCATCCTTATTACACTATCACGTGGTTCACTAAGGTTCTACGTGTTCCATGTCTGATGCATAGAATGGTACGCGTCGATACGTGTAGTCAATTTATGAGTACAGTACATGAGCATATTATGAGTACACAGAAGATAATTTAGTGTTTGATTTAGCGCCACTACGTGATCCTATAGACAAGGAATAGTGGATTGGAGGAATTTGCCCCCCTCCCCCCTCCCCCCCTATCAACACGACGTATCTGTGTAAAACAAGTGTTCGCCACTAAGAGAAACTAATGTATACGTATCTTGAAACACCCTGCATAAACGTCACAATCACAATACTGTTTTTTCTTTACAAGCCTAATAGGTATGAAGAAACTATTTCCTACCATACCGGCATACGATTATCAAACTTCAGGACTGTATAGACCAAGCGAATTAATGACATCTCTATTTCTGAATAAAAGTACGTAAACCTACGACACGTACAGTTTTAACTTTTGGAGGGCCGAAATTTGAGATGTGACTTGAAATCGAGTAATAGTCATATATATATATATATATATGACTACGTACTGACTAGTACGTGTAAAATTCTGGTCACGAGTAGAGGCAATAAATTGGCTTTCCAGCCCTCTAAAGATTAAAGACGAGTTATGCCAATACTTTTGGCCAATATTGTACAATAAATATTACATCTGACATATTTTAGACTCCTTCAAAGTGGACCACATCTCTGTATACATTTATCTTACGACTCTGGAAACGCTCGCTCTTCGCCCGAAGATCGACGCCAATTTCCGATTTCATAATAAAGCATCCTCGCGATTTATTCTTATACCGACGAGATGGGAATAAAGTTAAACAAATTTTTTTTTTTTTTTTTTTTTTTTTTTTTTTATATGCATGTTCATAATCGCATCTGCATCGTGAGCCTCGCGCGATGATCCAAGGCGAAGTAAGAAAAAGGTTAAAATATTTTAAAGATCGCTTCAGGCGTATTATCGGCATCTCCTGATTACGACGGTAATGTTAAGTTATCGTATTTGTCAATTATTTTTTTATCGTGTTAGGCGTTCGGTATTTCTATCAGCAGCAGAATCACTCTCGAAATATTTACCGTGGATAATGATAACGATATCGCATGTGTTATACTACGAAGGCACGACGTACCTATACGGTCTTAATGAAAAATTTAGTCGAAGTTTAGATTCATATAGATATGCCTTTAGTGGCAATTATAAAAATATAGCATAATTACCCTTCACGGTTTTACCTATTCCTATAAATAATGTGACACTTCAATTTTAAGTACCGTCTGATCCGCGGGTGCTACTCCTGTGATAAAGGCCGTACTACCGCTAAGTGGGAAGAACCGTAAGGAAAGCGTGGTGCAGATAAGTTACCTGAAAAGATCGCGTGCAGAGTCGAAGTGTTTTGAAGTGAAATAAAATCCACGAGGCAGTCAGATTTCTAAGGATCTTCGTGTTTTCTATTTTTAGATATGAATCGAAAGAATAATTATTTTTAACTCAAAATACCCTGTGAAGTTAGCCCCACTTCAAGTTTGGATTTTTAAATATTTTGATTTTAACGCTTGCGTCATATTAACCTTTACTGCACTCCCCCTACTATATTTCATTTATTGCTTAATATTCCGTTTACAATTTCGTATTACTGCACATTATATTTTCTAATTCACATTTTTACTTGATACGTGTCATATCTGTTATATGATTGCAATTTTTTAATATCAAAGCAAATTTTGATTACAATAAAAAAAAAGCTTAATGCTCCCCTCGTTAGCTTTCCGGTAGAGAATCGAACGACCCAGGTACGAGCAGTAGACAGATAATTGTTCTTCACTTTGACTGATCAATTAATTAATGGAGGGACTAATTAACGAGCAGTTAACGTCCAGAATGGGTAACGAGAGGGTTAGAGAAGACCCCTTAAAGGAACTATTGATTAGGATTGCAGAGCACTTTTCGAGGTTGGTTGTTCTGATTTTTTGGACTTGTCTACGACCAACTTCTCAGACGTTTTTACTATTCGGTCAGGTCTCTGCCGTTGAAACTCTTCAGATTCCTTCAGTTCGAGTACTCGAGGATTCACGTGTTCAAAGGTATTTTTAAAAGCGAGCTCAGTGAAAAGTATACCTGACGACTCTAAATCTTCGACTTTGTCCAGTATTGGAAGAAGGTTCGCGCATAGAAATACAAGAAAAACGTGGAATAAGACCCGTAGGAAAGGGTTTTGGGTTTGAGATTAGGAAGGAGGGTGCATAGAGATTCACTCCTCGTGCGGTCGTTCGAGAACGTTCTAGAAAGACACGGAACCGGATGGGATGAGCTTTGCGACCGCGCTGTTTCTTTGTATTCTGGAATTATATAGTCGCGCTCGGACGAGACTGTCGTTACGCTGTACTCGTTTACCTGAATTAGAATATATCGTAATTACATAAGATAGCCACTGTGCCGTTCGTTTAAGGCAACCCGTTACGTCCACCCATTGTAGCTCTTCCGCTCTCCACGTTCCCCTCTACCATTGCCAAAGTAGGAGCTACCGAGAACCACCGGTCCAGAGGACTTCCGGTGTGTTAAGAAAAATGCTCGCTGGATCGGACTGATTCAAAAAGGCACCTGGCGCCCAAAATATAACTTTTAAATTGAAGCCACCAGACTGCGACGCCGTAGAAATTCGTGAAGGAATCATCTCTTCCGTAACGACACGGTGAAAATAAAAATAAAGCTTGTTTTTTCGATTTAATATTTTTCACGAGTTTACACGCAACCTGCCACAACCACTACTTCCGGTTAAAGGGCAAAATCAACAAAAATTTAAAATAGAGTAAATAATTAGCACCTAACGAGCACCAAATTATTATGTTCGCTTTAAGCGATTGTACTGAAGTGGCTGTGTCAACTACATACACGTGTCTCGTCCCTAATGTTGCTCTTCTTCCTCATCTCCATCTTATGCTTCTGCATTCTTTCCTTACAGTACAGTCCACCCACGAGTAAAATATGCTTTACTCTGACAGATGGCAAAGAACGCAAACCTTATCAATTAACACCTGGCTTTCCATAAGATCACCGAAGAGTATATCCTCCTAGATCAGATGAATATATTTTATTGTAAACCCATTAAAATCCATACCTCGTGACAAAAATTGTAAACAAAGCCACGTGTCGATTTATTGCTACCGATCTGTCAAAACAAAATTTCACTCGTAGCCAAACTATATGTACTCTGGATTTTTAGATGAATTCGTCTCTTCTACCATTCCTACTTCTCCACTTCCAGTTCTCTTATTTGCTTCCTTTTCTCGACCACACGATGCGGGTAGTATAATCGTTTTGAAAAAATGTCACCGTCTCAGCTGATTTCTGATGACAGTCAGCCCAGTCCACGCTCGAAGATTCGGAGGAACTGTCAGTTTCACGACCGATACTGTTCGATCGACAGTTACTTCTGAGCTACGATAGACTACGGAAGTGTACAATTAAATAATTCTTGTTATCTCCATTTTGATAGCAGTGCCTTCGAAATTGTATTATAAGCCTGGAATCCCTTCAAAAGCTTCCGCATTTTTCTCGAATACCCTCGCGTCCAATAGCGATTTCGGACGTAGGAAAAAAAAAAAACTGGAAAAAACCAGGAAAGTTCAATAAAAATGTACATCATAGTCAAAATCTCATTTTAGGCCAATTCAATACCCTTTCGATTAAATCTTCAATTTTCTTTAAATACGAGGATCATTAATTTCACCAACAGAACGATATACAAGCCCAAAACGAACCTTTAATCATGATGTCCATTCGATTTTCCTATGGAGCCATGTTAGCTCGAACGAGGTAAAAAGAGAAGATACCTTCTCTGTTATTTTAATTTTCACACGTATTATTTACGTATCGATTAATTACATGCTACATTAATATAACCACCGTCTCTCTTTTCCACGATCATATAAACTTTTCTCGGATCACTCTTCACTATCTCGTTCGCTTCCTCCTTTATCTTTTTCTCCGATATTGTCATTGAGATTTTAGAACAAGTATCGTCGTCTCTGTAGCTTCTGGCGAAATCTCTTTTCTCTTTCTTAAAAATTAGTATGATTATACCTTTTCTCTGTACGTTGTTTAGCATCCAGTATACTCTTCCTTTCAATTACTTCACCCTGTAGATGCATACTACACGTAGAATTTCATTTTCACCTGTCGTCTTCCTTGTCCTTGTTTTCCCCCCCATTCTTTTCCTTTTACATCCCTTCGATCTTTGGTCCGCCACTTCTCTCTACTTGTCAATGCATTCTTCCTATCCTTCCAATAGATCCATCGTATATGTTCACTTTCATTTTGATTTTTGTAGGAGTCTTGTGCATTCGCTATTCAAAAACGGGGAAGAATGAATGCGCATGTGCGCGTGCATGATTCTAACATACTAGACGTTTTAATTCGAAAGTTTCGTTAAAAATTGTACAATGAGACCGGCGGATATTGCGATGAGGATCCACATTTTAAATAAATGTCAATAAATGTTGAATTTTTAGGAAACTTCGATTGTAGGTGAAAATCTTCTATTGACTGATTGTAAAAAAAAAAATTGAAAAGAAAAATATAAGATATTACCCCAGACGGGATCGTACTCCAACTCTTCGATCTGAACTTTGATACCTTACTGCCGTACCAGAGTTTTGCGACGAATTGAAAATTGAGATTTATAAACTTTGCAACTTGTCAAACAATGAGGTGAGCTCCAAATTTGACTATCACGTATTATAGGAGTCCTTAATTTTTCAAGTATTGAAGTTTTGAAATGCCGAAAAGTCCAGGTGATACTTTTCTCTTGTGATCAGAGTATAAGAGGCTGATTTTTTTATTAATAGGGACGAGCTCCAAATCTGGCTGTTGCGTAACTTTGAAACTCTTAATTATTTCTTAAGTCCTTCGTCTTATTTTAAAAATTTTTTATATTCTGGTGGTTCCAACTTTTTGTAAAGCCAGCACCGCCACAAGTTTTTACTAGAAGAGGTAGAGCTGTCAAATTTTGTTTAGGGTACTTGATTAGATCTTACATAGCTCTTAATTTTGCAATAGGTTTCATCTCGATTTTCTAGTTTTAGTTTTGTAGCTTTATTGACGTTTATATCACGGCGCATTCAAATAGTATGCAGTAAGTAACATAAATATGCACAAAAAACCACAATCTGACAGAAAATAATTCGACAATTGCCATTTAAATCTCAATATGGAATCATGTATATTTATTAAAGTAAGCACATGAAATTGTCTATATATGCGACATTTAAAATAAATATAGTTGACAGATTAATGAAATGTCAGTTCTAAGAAACTATTCACACTTTTATAAAATAGCCCACTCAAAATACATTTTATTTTACTGATGGACAGAATACAGAGCCTTTAGATTCTTCATAGGAGAAAAACTTTTGTTCCAGCTGTGGTGCACTACATGAAATGTTATATCGAACTGTGTCATGAAACCCTGAAGTAAACAAAAAATTGTATAATCTCCTTAGTTTTCAACTTATAACTATCTTGATAGATTTAAAAATAAAAGCTTTGTTATATCCAACTGAAAAAGAAATACCCTATCTGTTGAGTTAATTTATGTGCAATATAGAAATTGTAATCAATGACAACTAAAAAAACCAAGTAATATAAATTATAGGCTAAATGTTAAGAGCGAATTTACACCTGTTATTCAGGAAGTAGAATAACAATTCTTTTCCAAAGTGATGTTAATACATTCCCTTATACAAATAAAATACCTGCTCGTAAACACAATTCATTATTTGAATATCATAAAAATATCAGCTGCTATACAAGTTAAATTAATCTTGTAAATACTTTTTTATTTAACGCATCAATCCTTAAGTAATTATGTTTCTTATACTTAGTACTACATATGTACAGCAATATTGAAAAATGTTGTCCATATATCTTAAGAATCAATTGCATATGTTAAAACTTTTTAAACTAAGGAACTCGGAACTATTTCCATAAGAGCAAGCTATAATTATGTTTAAACGATTTATACACAATTTAAAATAAATGCTGATAACCAATAACATAAAATACTTGAACAGTCTTCAAAATCTGTAAAATTGAGTAAGTTTAACACTGATAATATAAAAAATTAATAAGTACTACTAAGCTCCAAAAAAAGTTATAGAATAACAAGCAAAATTGTGCCACCTATAATGATTATAGTCAAGCCATTTAAAATTTACATTTAAAACGTAAGCTAATTTCCCAGAAAACCAGATTAAAAAATTATGACAGTGACTCATTCATGCAACTTGCACGGACAATGAAATGTATTGTCAATTGATGTGGTGGGTGTAGAAAAGGCTACGGCTCGTCCCGGTAACGTAAAAATAATATTTCACAATATCGCTAGTGTGAAGACGTCGTTTCTGCAAATGCAAGGACTTTTCGAGTCACACGACAGGATGGAGGATGAAGAGTATCTGACATACGGGAGAGAGAGAGAGATAGATAGGTAACAGAGCGGGAGACTGAGCAATGGGATACACAAAGTAAACGAAAAAGTCAATTAAAAACGAGAGGATGAAAGGATAAGAGAAAAAGAGAAAGAGGAAGACAGAAGAGAGCGAAAAAGGAAGGGAGAGAAGGAGACAGAGAGGGAAAGAGAGAGAGAGAGAGAAAAAAGTGCGAGACCTACCTCTGCGATTGAACGGCCGGACCCGAACAGCAACCTTTATTTTATCCGTGGCCATGTTTTACACCAACGATACACTATTTTCTCAATCACAATACGACACAATCGACGCTATGTACAGACGGATGATTTTCACAAGTGCAACATTACGCTACGTTATTTTCACCCCATATCGTGAACCTTTCATCTTTCAAACGGCACTACGTCTGACCGAACCGATGACACACTTCGCCATATTGCTTCGTTCGATGTATGCTGCTGCCAGTTCCTGGCGAGTGTAGTTTCCACTAGTCACCGCTTGGTGGAGCGCACCGCAACCCTTGCAAAATTCTTCTGACGTCATCAAAGTCGTTCAATCATATTGACATCTACCGGACTATTGTGTTATTTTTTAAAGAAGATAAATTTTAAGTTTTAAGATAATACCGTTTTCGACTCACTGCACTCGATATATATGACCTAAGAACAGATTCCCTAGTATTTAACACGAGGAAATTTGGAGAAGAGGGTCTAGCCCCGTCTATTTTGTGCCTAAAATGAATTGTATGTTATTTCACCCTTCTCCAGAACTTCTATACTGGTCCAGCGTATCTTCCGTGACCACTAGCCGTTTGGACAAAATCCCATAAGCCTTGCTTTAATATATAATACTAAAGAAAATATAAATATTCTGTTAATCTTGCGCATCATGCGCTACAAGAGCAATGAGTTGAAAAAGCGCTAAAATCTTCCCAGATTGGTCTTGAACGATTCGTACGACTCAAAAATAAAACCACTGAAATAAGTTTGTTTTATATCGATATATAACTATGTTTACACGCGCGGGTTTAGAAAGGATTAATTAATAACGTTGGGTTATTCTTTTTAAATCTTACACGCGAATAGTTAATCCTTTCTAAAAACTCATGCGTGTAAACGTAGTCTAGGTTTGCTGAATTATATACAACGGATACAATTCATACAAAGCTTAGCTATTCGTTGGTTCTAACGGAATAAAATCGAAATGGCCAGTGATGCGGATTATCGTTAGGTTGTGTCAACCCAACTTGGGTAATTAAGACACTCTCTTTGTATCGATACAAATCGGCATAAATTGAGTAATTGGGGAACAGCCATAGCTGAACGTATCGCAAATATAACGAAAGGTTGACGATGGCCTCTCGGGAATGATTGGAGTTGTTTTCGGAGGCAATAGCTACTGAGTGCAGACCTATGCGTGCTATCCAGCGAAAACGGACAATCGATGGGCACGAATCCACTATTCCACAGATCGATTGACACTGTCCGTTAGACAGCATCCCTGAAGTACTTCGGAAGAGAGACTCTAGCTTCGGAGCACCGTAGGTCTATTCGAAAATAAGCCGAGAGCATTGTTGTGTTTTAATCAAATACATTCAATAAACAGAGAAATACGTAGTAATTTACTACATTTCCACCGTAAACGATTTATGTCCAGTTTCTTCACTTGCGGTTTAAATTTATCCTGTGGATAAACTCTTAAAGCATAAAAATGATTTATGAATTCTGGCAATTAATTTTTTTCTTCTTCAACTCGTTGGTGGTTTACACTCTCACTAAAGGGCCAAGTGTCAGAGTTAGGTCCGTATTCATAAGTCAGTGCTTGAGACGGAGTACAGGCTTAAGACCATAGAGATAGTAATAATAACACATGGTAGAGAATGTCTTAAAATCGTGCATAAAACGAATGACTACGAATACGGGTCCTAATTCTTTTAGATCGGTATGGTCCGGTATCAGTATTAACCACTGAGATGTAAGAATACTGGAGGCTGTGCGGAATTGATGAAGGCCGTGTAGAGAGAGATACCGAGGAAACAGGCCAATGTACCAAGCTGTCTCTGTCACAAACTGTACAGTCTCTCAAAAAGTTTAAGCTGAGATAAAGCTCTGCGAACGGGGAAGACTAATCCAGCATAACTTGAAATAGTAGCACACATATTTTATTTCGAAGGCTGCTAAATATTTTTTTGTCATTTTTACAAAGTTTTACGGATTATTTGACCTTAGTGAAGAGTGTAATTATTGTACTTCAGTGTTCGCTCCATCGTACCACGGATGGCCATCGGCTGGCAGTCATATGTCGGCGAGACATTTTCGCAAGGCTTGTACACTACATGCGCAATTCAATTCGAAAAGGACAACTTCCTACAGAGTGTGAATGAGATAGTAGCACGCTTACAGGGCTACCTCCGAATATAGGCGATACAGGCGTACGGTCTCCGGTATTCCTACATCTCAGTGTTATTAACTAAATCGGAAAAAACCGCCATTTAAACTAAACGTAATCATTCTGTTGCCATGCGAGCTCAGAAATCTTTAAATCAAAAATGCTAATTGTACAAGAATTCTGATGAGAATCACGATGTTGATTGCAGGCAGACATGCTTATAATAGTTAACCATAATGTGCAGTGTCAAATTGGCGGGAATCTGGGTTTCAAAAACATGTCATGTATGCGACGTAATATGTGACACAGTATCCAATGTTACTTTACTACTACTGATTACTAACAGTGTGGAACATTCATTAAATTTTGTGACTATTGTAAAATTACATAAATTGTGAATGCAATTATAAATTGAAGAAATATAAGAAGTGTACTGGTATAATTTGACTTGCGTTAGAAACATTCGCAGCTTTCAAAGTTATCACAGATAGGTATTACTTTTATCATTCAATGTACACCAAATTACTATTGTTAAAATACTAAACCGTATGCTAATTTCTCTGAAAGTGAGTACTTCTGATAGTTAACATTAATTAAAAATCATGATTATAAAATTACAAAGTATTATAAGCTGTTCATCTGAACATCCATCTTATCCAGCCAAGAATCTGCTTGAATATCAAGCGAATAAATCCTGGAGATGTGCTAAACCTGGTGAAATGATGTCTTATGTAATTTTTCAACTTTGTGAACCATCCTGTTTAACTGGTTTGGACATTGGTAACTATCGGTCATGTATAGTTATTGTTGAGGCTTCTACGTCTGCTGAACCAGATAACTGGATCCCAATTGTGAACCACCAGTTTATGACTCATGACGACGCAGCAAATAGTAGATTTAAGGACCAAGTTCAGCTGTTTACTAAAAAGGAGTTAAATCCAGAGACTCTCAAATTAAAATTTGATCGGATTAAAGTAACATGTATGCAGGCTGCAAATCTGCGAGAACTGTTTGGCTTGTCTTTTGTGATTTTTAGAACAGAAGTTACAGTTGATCTTGATGTAAATGTCTTTGGAAGATTTAAGCTAAAAGACACAAAAGATAACAGTAAATTAACATTGAATGCATTTAGAGAAAAATATATGAAGCTGCATAGTAGTAAACAAAGTAACTATAAACAAGAATTAGAAGAAACAATCAAAGGAAATGCTATGAATAATTTTATTAAACGTCAGGACAAACCACGTGAGTCTATGAAAAGACCATTATTGGCAAAAGAAGAAGATGGAAACAATGATGAAGTATTTAGAAAAGATAGAAATTTTCAACAGTCAAACGACAAAATGGAAGGGAACCAATCAAAGTTATTCACTCCTGAACAAAGAGCAAGCAGTTCTTATTCCAGAAAACGTTCATTAAGTCCTGTTCCAACGACTTCAAATGAATCAGTATCAACTAAAAAAATGCATTGTTCAACCGATTCGAGCGATGCTTTAGATAAAATATGCAAAACTTGTGATGGTTTAATATCAGAGAAATTGGTTAAAGGGATTGTGAAGGAACACACATTACAGGAGGCAGAAAACAAAACAGTGCGAAAGACCTTGGAAGAAGCTCAAGCAATAAACCAAGAAAATAAGAAACCAATGCAAGTAAATCCTCACAAAGCAAACGCAATTGTGGAACAGGCAAATTCATCAAACCAAGTAAAGAAGAAACCCAAAACGCCTTTGAAACAAAAATTAGACTTTTCAAAGCTCATGGAAGGTGTGAAGTTTTCTTTAAGCGGATATGTTAATCCACAACGAGATGAGATCAGAAAAAAAGCCTTGAAGATGGGTGCAACATATATTGCTGAACCCAATTTGACAAATAAAAAATGTACACATCTTATTTGTGCTTTTAAAAACACACCAAAATATCGTCAATTTAGGAAACACACAAAGATTGTTAAGGTCACATGGATTGAAGATTGCTTTGATAAGCGAACTAGGTATAATCGTTTTCAAGTACAACATGATTTTTATGCATGGACTTTAAAATGTTTTTTCTTAGATTTCCCTGGAGAAGATATGCACTTGATGAGGAAGAGGCGAAAAAGCCCGAGAGCGAAGAAGAAATTGAAGGAAATATGTCACCTGTTCGATTTGGACAGAATCGTAATCAAAATTCAGATTCGGAATCCGATTATTAATCGATTGTATATTGCATACTATATTAATTTCAATTTTATAATAAATTATAATAATTTGTTACAACGATGTATATACAATAATTATATTATTTTTCGAAATAGAATTATATACACTGAATATTACTGCCGTGGTAATTCTTATCTTTATAATAAAAGCGACATTATTATAAAAAAAATTTATCGAGATTTTCAGGAACACAGGAAACTTAATCGATTTTCACATAGGAACATGCATTACGCCTATAAGGAACATAACTAGAAATCTTAAATTCTAAAAGTCTTCTGATATAAAAATTTATCACTTAAGTTATCAGGCTCGTTTGAAGCTTTCCGATAAAATCTCGGTCTTTCTCATGAGTCAAAACTATTTCTCATGAAAGATCCGATTAACAAAATTTTCAATGATATTTTTCACTCGTACAACTAATCCGACAAAGATATAAGGTTCATTGAATAAGCAGCCACGAGGAGAGTGAGGAAGAAAAGAGGACGAGCACATAAGGCTGGATCCTCATACAGGCAACAGCATTCAAAACCAGAGCTTTGTTTTGTGAAAAACGTGTTATGTGGGAAACTTGTCATTTTTTACCAACCAAAGTTCTGCAGTCAAATGTTGGCGCTTATTTGAGGTTCCAGCGTGAACCAGTCCTAGAGTGCGCCACCTCATTCAGAAAACATTTACGACTTACGTTTCTGAATGTTGTACCTTCAATTCTTTCTGCCTATAATTATTTTTGGAAGTATTTTTGATCGTAACAAAGAAACTTTAGTTAATTTAAAAAAAAAAGGATTTAAATTAGCAAAATTTCAATCATACCAGCTTTAACTACAAATCGTACTTTTATAAGGATTGTCACTAATTAAAAAATTTCTCGAAAAGTGGTCTGTCATTGAAATATTGCAAAATACAAGGATGGCGAGTAATTCAAATAACACATTTGGATTTGAGTTACTTTATAAAGTATCAGAGAATCAGATATCAAAAAAAGAGGATGTAATCATTTTATTGGCGCACTGGTTTTTCATAAAAAATGGTTTTCGATGTATTGGATTTGGTGATTCCGTAAGTTATTATTTTATATTAACAATAATCGGCGCGTACAATATGTAGGTACTATCTTTAATTTTATATTATACATCATTTTTAACTATTTGCAATAATTTACTTAGCACAATAATATCTAAAGCAGTTAACGTCAAAAATAATTTTTTTTGGTCATTGTTCTTTGTTTCTATTATATTCACCCATTCATTCCAGTCTATCATACTTTAAAAGTTTGTCAAATTTTTGTATTTATTCCTTGTTGAACATGCTATTGTTAAAGTAATATCTTCAATTATAATATGAATTTGATAATTTTTCAGAAAACGTTGGATCAGTCTGATCAAGGGTCTGAGCTATTACCAGAAGAATGGAGTAAACATTCGAATTATGCATTACGTTATGTAAAGGAGGGAAAACTCTATATTCTTCTTGGAACAAAATCAGATGAAGATTTGCTTTTGAATTTAATGGTACGGAATATAGCTTAATATTTATTGTTATTTTATATTAGTCTTAGTAATTTAAACAAAATGATGCAAGGTTTATTGATGCTATAAACTTTTGTGCATGATAAAATAAATTAATAGGTTCTTAGAAAATAGTTGTTTCTTAATGGTATGTATTTTTGTATTATTGTATTGTATTAATGTATTTTTTACAGAGAATCGAGGATCACAAAGTCTCTAATGTTCAGTTCCCAATAGGAACAACAGTAAATAATCTCCATGGAACATTAGAGAGTCTTTTACCCAATTATCAAGCAATATTGGATACCTTACGAAAGGATCTTGTAGAGCCAGTATATACAACCCCTGCAAGAGAAACCTCTACGCAGACTACAGAAGTTAGAGGACATAGTGAACGTGAAATTCCAGGGCATCCAATTGATTATGATGACCCATTGAGGGTAGGACCACCACGTCATCCTGGGTCTTCCACTCAACCATGGTAATTCATGTACCGATTTCTTTTCTCGAACTATTTTAAATTGTTGATTTAATTTTATTTACAATTTCTGCGTTCATAGATTGAAGAATTAGTAGGTTCGTGAAAGGATCGGTACTCTATATTTCTAAGGAATAATTTAATTAAATTATTACAGGCATCCCATGACATCGATGACATAGATCCAAATAATATATGGCTTCCCTCACTTTTTTAAGTCCGAATTGGACTATTTCCAAATGTAACACGCGATTCCTGCTTTCTCTATTTCTGATAATATCCTTGATCCTGTATAAATTTCTGTTCATGCCAATAAATTCATGTACCGTCAGGTACATTCTTCTTATATAATGTGTTTTATGCGATTATATGTTAATAATACAATGCATTGAAGCGTTTATGCTTTTCTACCATTTTGCACTTTGTCTTGATAATCAATATTTCATGGTTAATGTTTATTTATATATGACGTCAATCAATATTCTACATAAAGTGAATTTGCATAGTCATGTTCAAAACATTGAGTTGCAGTTATACGTAAACATAACGTTTTTTCATTTCAATAGGCTAACTTCAGTACTACAATGTTATAATTATAGGATTATTCAATTTTAATGAATTCTAAAGCAGACTTATAGTCCAAAATTCAAATTATTTGACATTAAAATACAGTAATATATTCTATATAGTTGTGAGTTTTGAAACATTAATTGTGTTATTTAAAAAAAGGAACATTTTTTAGCTGATTTGATGAATTTTTGTTCGATATGTGTTTTGTGGATCCATTCTAATACAGTCTAATTAATGTGTTGCTTATAAAGGATTCCATATGCGGATCCATCGAGAGTAGGTAGATCCGATCTTGATCCCTTCTCTGAAGGTGGAGGAATGATTTTTGATCCATTCGCGCCAAGAAGACCATTCGCAAACCCGTTGGCTCCTGGAGGACCTGGAGGATTGGGTGTTCCCGGAAGACTGCCACCGTAAGTACTACTATAGTAAGCACAGTGATAGAAATTGTTACTTGTCATTATTTAGTTATCAATGAAAATAAATTTTGTACATGACATAAATTTCATACAAAATTATTTTACAGTGGAGCAGTTCCACCAGGCGCTAGATTTGATCCATTTGGGCCACCTGATGTTAACCGACCCAGACCACCGCCTGGTCCACCAGACAGCGATCACTTTCCACCACCGGGTTACGACGACATGTTCATGTAAAACACAAGGTCTCCTTCGAAGAAGAAATTATTTTTACTCTGCATATATATCATTTGCTATTTTTATGATTACTGTATATCTTTTATTGAGCCAATAAAAGTAGAGAGCTCCGTTTAATTCATACTTCATTAAGTGGTCATTGTCATATTAACCTGAAAGTACTGCGATATTTTGTTCATGGCAATACGAGGATATTCTTCGACATATTACTTAAACCTTATGAAAATATCCATTCTTTATGCTATACAAAAAGAGAAGATTTGAATTCTTATTTAGATGTATGAAAGATGACATATGTATATTTAAAAAAAGAAAAAAAATGAATGTCATGTAAAAAATTTGATAATCCCACTTGTCTATTTGTTTCTACAGGAAATAGTCGCACACTTAAGTTTGGAAAAACTATGTAATACTTAAAGATACTCAAATTTACTGTGTTGAAGCATGTATTGTTTTGTTATATGTCTCTTTTGTTCATCAATTAGTTCCTATAGAAAAATGTATTTATGGAGATTGAATTGAACATTAGATTTATAATTCACAGGCGTATTTTTCAAATCCATTATTTCTTGTACTGTACATCACTTGGATCTTGATTCCTGTGACACTACCAAGCATTGAATGTAATAAAACGTAATATTATTATACGATTTAACATAAAACTACATTCGTTTTTGTGTTACGTGTAAAATAATAAACATGTACATTTAAATCTTAATTTTTAATCAGGATATTAGTATTTATGTATTCTATGACTAACTAACAACCTTTGTTGTTTAGTTTCCATTTAGTTGCCAAATTTGATTTTATAGTCCTTACAAGATCTTGCAAAAATCTATTCTTAAATAAACTTTAAACATGTGGCCTCTTGGTCTAGGGGTATGATTCCTGCTTTGGGTGCAGGAGGTCCCGGGTTCAAATCCCGGAGGGGCCCATATTTTTTCTATTATAATAATTTTGTAAAATTATAAGGAACAAAAAATAGAAGGATACAAGAGTTTTTTTTACAGAAAATACATAACTGAATAAAAAGAACTGAATACAACACAAGGATGCACGAGAATCCAACAAAGAAACATTCTGCTAAATGAAAAAGAATGGGCAATAAGAATTAATATAAACTAGTACTACTAGTACGGTAAATATTTTAAAATTTCACTAAATCTTAAATTTAATTATTAGCATATAATTCGTCATAGAAACATTTTTATATAACTTAATGCTATAAATAATTATCAATATTTAGTTTTTATGCATCTTGCATAACATATGTATTATGTTTTAAATAATATAAGAATACTATTTAGTTAAGAGACATCTTATATAATTTTTTATTATCATACTTAACAAATAAAATTGTACGTAATACGCGTACGGTAATAGTTTATTATTTTAACTTCATTGAAGAAAATAATCGTTATTCATTGAAATTAACTAAGTGCAACAATAGTCAAGACTTAGAAATTGTTTGTTCTATTGTTAAGAATTACGAATTGGTTTTCTTGCAAAGCAATATATATTCCAGAGGTTCTGTTGCACTCATACATTATATCTATGTAAAAAATATTCTCATGCATATAAAAATGAAATGGATAAACAGATCTGACTATATATTCATAAGTATAGGCTAATAAGTTTTAAACCTAGTTAAACTTTTGTGATTACAGTAGTAAGCAGTAACAGAAATGCAACGAGATATACTATACATTGTACGTATGTTTTTTAATAAATATATGATACTTTAGAACAGCGTCGTAGTTAAATTATATTTATAGTAATTATATGTAAGAAACAATTTAGTTTAGTATAATATCTTTTAAATTTTGCAATTTCTTCATGATTTCAAAGATCTTTACATTTCAAAAATCGCGGTATATTTCTGTCTTAGATGAGAAGCAAGATGGGGCAACATGTTTGCGCATGCGTGAACGGACAACGTCGGACAAAAACACAGCTGGTGTATGATCTTGATCGTTGAGCGATGGTCGGTAGTTATCCATGTGATTTCCGCGAAATTGACTACCATATTCTCGCTTCATCAAGGGTAAACATACGTGTAAATTTACCAAGTAATCATCCGTGAGTGTTTCGATTCGTGAAAATGCATAAGAATTGACGAGTACTGTGTGACTACCAGGATTTTTTTATTGCTTTGGATACAAAGGAATCTCTTTGGAGCTATCACGAGCATCGTTACGGTAAGTTTGACAATTTTTATACATTTTCATTCGTGTCAATTTATTCACATATTTCACATCATTTAACATATTATTTTAATATATTGATAATCGGCTCCTACTCATTGCTGATTGGCTCCACTGACTCACTGATCTTTGCTAAACATCTGTGTCCTGTTGTACAATGACCTATTGCTATATTGTCTCTGTGAATCTAGTCCTTTGTAAATTTTTGTAATTACGTCTTTGTTCATTAGCTACTGTTTTTGTCTAGTCTAAGATTATTTGTTATTCTACCAGTCCATTTAATATATATTATACAAGTTTCTTATCATATTCTATTTATTCAATCAGTTTCTACTTGTGATAATTTTGGATGTTAATGATACCTCTTTACGCTAAATTTTTTGACATTATCAATTCAGCATTTTTGTTATTCCTTTTGTTCCACTTAATTTTTATTAGCATCCTGCGACACTAACCTATATGTATATTGATATTTTATATATTCTGCATCCTATTTATATTTATCGTAACTATATTTTAGTTAAATTCACAAAATGTGCATCGTATAAGCAATGAAAAGACTTATAAATATTCAAGCACATTTATTGATATTAACTGTTTTCTTATAGTATCTATCAATTTTTTTCTTTGTTAAATGGAAATTAATCTCTTTTGTTATATAAAAATATATCTTTGCATTGCGCAATGCTCCCTTTCCACAATAAAAGCTAGAGCTGTTTCAAATTATATGATTCTAAAAGAAATTTAGTTTACGGTTCATTGAAATTGTTAATACATTACAGTTATGATAAATTTGGTTTCACATTAAATAATACTAATATTAATTGATAATCACTGAATATATTTTGCTTAGTTTTATAAATAGCAGAGTCTAAAATGTTATATATTAGCATAACATAGTGTCGATACTAAAAGTTATTACAGATATACGAGTTTTTTTATATTATGACTGTTGTATAGGACACATATTGATAATATTTTATTGGGTCAGAAAGAATATATTTTGTTCAATGTCCATTATCAAATGAGAAATATATCTCATTTAATCAAAATAGATGTACATTAGCATGCCAATTGTATTCTACCATCTGTTGTGAAATATTGGAACCAATACAGTAACATAAGTAATATTACCACGTATTACATTTTACTAATGTTAGTTGGCAACGAAATTGAATGAAACATCTGGTCCCATGATATTTTCAATTGATTGTTACAAACAATGTTTATAACATGATCGTCAGACATATTATAACATGGAGTATCAATGATTTTTTTGTAGTGTACAATTTTCAGTATACAATAATTTATAACATCTGTATTTGTCTATGATGGCAACATATAGTATGTACAACATATAACAGCACCATTCATTATTATTTAGTAATATATATCATTAAGAAACTAAATCTATACTTAATCATAAGATTAAGAATAGATCTAGAGGCAGGCGAGTAGCAATTTTGTGTTGGGGAGTGAAGTTTTTTTTATACTTTCTATTATATGTCTCATTATGAGAATAAAACATTTTATCTTGGATAATAGGATAAATATAGAACTGGTTTAATGTCACTGCAAGTATTTACTTTGTTCTGACTGTATTATTTTGTACTAAGAATATTGTTTGTCAAATTAGATTTGACATTTATAAAACTTCGCATCTATATTTGTAACAATACGGTCCGGGCTGTTTGCGCGATAACTAATGCGTGTAGTAAATATTTTAATACACATTGTATAAAACTATTTATGTCTCCGTACGGTAATATGTTATTATAGATATTTAGAGATTGTCAATTAATAGTAAAATTATATTTATACCAAACATATGACACTGTAAAAATGCGCGAATTGGAAATTAACATATAATGAATTTGACAGGTGTTGGAAATGCACTTTTTAATTTTTCCCTGCTTGAAAGTCAGCGCTCAATACATTATAGTTCACTTTAATAATTTCAAAGTTTTCTAAATAGTTTGAAATCAGTCGAAAGTATGGATGGAATTTCTTTAAATTCATTTGTAATTTCTTTAACGTGGTACCGAGCTCTCCTTTAATTTAATTATGACATTGTAAGGATATCGTGGTTCAAGATTGTGTATTCTCTTTCCATTTATTTCATTTTCGTAAAATGACTCATCAAATTTAGTTTTTGAAATTTTGGAAGAACACGATTGCACAAGTAAAAATTAATATGCTGCCAAAGTATCTCATGCATTTTCGGAATTGTGAATTTTAACCGTTATTTTAGGAAAACAGACTGAATATCCTTATGGCTAATGACATTCGATTACCGTTATCTGACTCATTTTACAATCTGAATAGAACGGTACTTGCGCACTCGCCATTACGAAAATAGTGTGGGTAGACGTATAGCAAAATCCGAAAGAGATAAATTCATATTTAAAGAAAGCATCAAGATACATATGTGCATATTACGACGTGACGTCATCAGTTCTATATTTACTACTTTTACGTTGTACAACACTAGGAGTTCATGGTCCGTCAAAGACAAACTGATGTCATGGCCTGATCGTGGATAGGATAGTAACAATATTCGTAAATTCCCACAATTTCGGTTTATGTTGAAACCTTAAGGATCGCGAAGAAATCTGTAGGACATACGATTGGGGCCGCACGTCTGTCGGAAAACTTGCACGTTACTAAAATCATGAGAACTTTTTTATTTATGAAGCAATTTTTGTGAAACTTTCAGAAAATTGTAGAATAGAATACAGTAGTAGATACAATGTGTCAAATGTATTTTAACAGATTAAGAACCGCTCACGGGTTTTCTCGTGTTTTGCGCCCCATCCGTTACGGACCGATTACGAGATAATTCGTGTTTTCTATACGCTGTCTGTAGATGTTATCTCATATGATGCATTGTATCTACTACTGTATGCTATTCTACAATTTCTGAAAGTTTCACAAAAATTGCTTCGTAAATTAAAAAAAGTTATGATGATTTTAGTAACGTGCAAGTTTTTCAAAAAACGTTCGGCCCCAAGCGTACGTCATACAGATTTCCTGGCGGTCCTCAAGGTGTTAATAAAAATTGAAGTGCGGGTAAAAAATGTTATCTTTGACGGGATTTACGAAAATATTTAAATTTTCAAACGAGTCGATCAGCTAATCGAATCGCAATGTGTATTGTAGGAAAAATAATTATTTGTTGTTTAAAAATAATAAATTAGCAAATTTGTAAAGACTCTTACAGCACTACAACTTTCGACGGAATGATTTAAATTTTAATAAAAATCAATCGCCTTAACATATTAAGTGTATAAAAGTAAAAGGTACAAAGTGAAAGGAATGTGTATGACACACGCGTACCTTGTATTCAGTAAAACGTGATGCTAGAGAGGATTCTCTTACATCGAAGAGCGTCACGCCTAAAAAAAACGTAAGGCGTAACAAGTAACATATGATACCAGTAATAGAAAATCCATATTTCGTTGATTCCTGCACAAGCTGGAAATCGTATGTGTTACTTCTTACGTTTTCCTTATGCGAGGCCCCCCTAACCTAAAAATGCCCCCGAGGATAGGTGCGCGGTGTTTTCTTTTTTTTGACAGCCGTGCGGGGTGAACTTCAAATTGCATTTTTAATTCGTTGTGAATATTATACAAGGCCACGTGCTGCTTATTAGAGACCTCATTGTTCTTGATCTGTCAATAAAACACATTGATTTCGTGGACCGACTATATAGATGTGTCTTGTGCATGCTTGGGTCTAAGTAGAAACAACGTTGTCACTCTTTACTTTATAAACCATGGTTTATGAAAAACGCCTCAGTTGATTATCATACATACTACGTGCGTAACGATCTGAGATAAATGATCGGAGAGAGAATTTTTTCTAAAAAATTTTCGAGAAAACCACATAAAATATATCGTGGGACATCGTGGCTCTTTGTAAACATAATATCTGTTTTCGAGTAATTCACGAACACAGTGAAGTTTAACATACAGCACATTTGTTTTTACAAATGCTCAAGTTTTGGTACAAACAAGTTTTGGTAAAATTTCGATGTCTTCGGCAATTTTCGACTAATGCTAGTAGAACATTGGAGGTGCTCATCGTTCGCTTGTTCGTGGATTATTTTCCGTGATTGTCCCTGACTTTTTGGATTATCATGTTCGGCTGGATGGAAGCCAGCAGACGTCTTTATCATTCAGGATGTAACCTAAATGTCTATTACGTTATACGTATAGTCTTTTCATGAGTAAAAGACGTTTATTGTTTGACAGATCGCAAATATGAAATAAAGGTCCATGCTCGGATGGTACCATAAAAATACAAACGTTAAGAATTTTACGTGAAGCACCATATGATTTTGAACACTGCTTAAATAAATGTTATTTTGAAAAAATGTTACCACGTAGTTATGTATAAGTTTTCAGCTCTAAAAATTTACTGCGTGCACTGTAAAATTTACTTGTGCTGTCATTAAAAATATTCCGCGTTATCAGTATCATGTGACGGAGCTCCAGGATATCCCACAGTTACTGTTTTGTCACGAAAATTTTAATTTTCAATTTCGCACGAAAATTTATTTAAAAATTCTTTCCGTGTTCGATGTCGAAAATAATTGAAAATGTTTTTCTCTCTTCTCGAGAAAAAATGATTATACCATATCCAAGAGCAATGTTTCAAAATTTCAATCAAAATTCTCTACGATTGCAAGATAAAAATGTTAATTTTATGTAAATAATATTCTTAATGAGCAGTTTTATCCATCAATGATTTCATCGCTACTATTTGAGGAAATATCATTTCTACAAAATTTACATTTCCGTAATGTATTTTATTGTGTATAATGTTTTCCGACAATTTTATGTCTGATCAGACATAGAGAAATTTTAGGTTTTTTTTTTTTTATATAAAATTTTATATTATATATATTTATTTTTTCCCGAATTGATCGTCGTGATCTAACGTTTTAATCTCTACTACTGACATACCCTGCATACGCTAGCTAAATATTTCTG